CCATCCCCACTTTAAGGGAAAAATGCTCCAGCCTGGCCTAATAACTAAGAAAGGTGGAAAGTTGTGTAAAAAATAAAATGATCTTTTAAAAGTATCAAAGATACAGCCTTTAAATGTCCTCTCTAGCTGGTGGAAAAACCACCAGTAGAACAATGCTGCATTCTACTCTACATGTGGTTCTCTTTTCAGGTCACCTGCCTCACTGGGAAAGGCCTGATTCAAGGTCTCCACAGTCAAGGACGTTTGGAATGTTTGGCCTAATAAGGTAATCTAGAAGGATTTGTAGACCATATAAGAACTCAGAACACCTCTAAGAGTTTCTGGTGTTTGTATCTTAGTTGGTATGACACACCCAAAGGCAAATAGGGCTATTTCACTTTGTGTTAAATTCTCAGGTTTTGAAGTGTGCTCACTTCTCTAGTTCATAAGATGCAAATAGCTTAAACGTTTTCGCTGATAAACTTTCACACCTGCTTTTTATATTGCATTCAGTGCTCATTCAAAATCCATAGCAACTTGGAAAGTTAAAATGCATGTTAAAAAACAAGTATTAAAAGCATCTTCCAAATGTTCAGTCCTCTACTGAACAACTTAAAAGACAGAAGGAAATTAGACTAAAGGGGAGCCTTAACTTTAAAGCATTTGCAGTCTCATAGGTCACATATTCTTCAGGAGTAAGAGTCAAAATAGCCAGTAGCATATAATCAACTGTCAAGTTGGGCATTGTAAGAATGACACTGAGGCCAGGTGTGGTGATGCTCACCTTTAATCCCAGCACTCAGGAGGCAGAGGCAGGCTGATCTCTGTGAGATCAACGCCAGCCTAGTCTACATAGCGAGTTCCAGGTTACCTAGGGCTGGCTATAGGGAGACATTGCTTAAAAAAACAAAAGACACTACAATTTTAAAGTAATACTTTATTTTACTTTTGGCTGGCCTGGAACTCAGTATGTAGACCAGGTTGACCTCAAATGCACAAAGATGCACCTGCTTCTGCCTCCTGAGTGCTAGCTAAAAAAGTAATATTTCAATAATGGAAAATTGATTCTATTTTGTTGAACAGATGCAGGTTGGAAGCTTTAGCTGTTAGTGAATACTGAGGCAGACCCAAGTGTCTCCAACTCAACTTCTATCCTTTATACCCTGAGAGGAAATTCCAAAGTGCCAAAGTGGTCAACAGGTTCCTGTACTGTGATCCATTCTCCCCTATACTTTTTTTTTCTGATAAAATAATAAACAGTTCTCTTTATCTTTCTGGATGACTTCCCCCAACTCTGAATCATTGCCAGTTTCAGTCCACAGGAAAGAACCCACAACTTTATCTAACAGATCTTAAGTCTACAACTACATGGCCACCACACCCCTAAAGTGCAAGCTCTCTGTGGAACTCGGGGCCTTTCCTCCACTTCTCTCCCGGGATGACCTAAAAGCATTAGTTCACTCATTCCAACTGATTAAGGGAATACAAAGTTCCAGAGTAAAAAGAGGAAACTATTCCAGGACAAAAAATGGCCAAGAGGGTTAAACACAGCTGAAGGATCAGGTGAGATAAGAAATGGAAAGGTGTCACTGGATTCAGCTTCTGAGAAAACATGTCAGGAGTCAGCTGCAGTCAGGTGTGGGAGAGAGGGGAAGTAGAGGCATTGGAGAACAGCTCTTTAGAAATGTGTGAAGAGAGGAGAAGAAAGGCAAGTGGGGATGATCTAGAAGAAATTGTGTCCTAAAGGAAAGGCCTTTTTCTAGATGCCAGAGACCTGCTAGTCTGAGGGGAAGGTGACGGTGCACAGGAGGATGTGCTAAGGCAGGAGCAGGCTGGAGGACCTGGGTCCTAGAAGCAAGTTCAGCATTCTCTCAGAAACCAGAGGGCGGGAAGTAAGGATGGAAGTAGAATGCAACTGGACATTGGGCTCAACTCAAGGCAAGGTTTCACTTACGGATTTCTTTCTGGGCTGGGTGTGGGTGTGCACACATTTGATCCTAGCACTTGGGAGGCAGAGGCAGACAGTTTTTTGTGAGTTCAAAGCCAGCCTAGTCTGCATAGGGAGTTCCAGGACAGCTAGGGCTACACAGTGAGATCTTGTCAAACAAGCAAACCAGCCAACCAGGAATTTCTTTCTGGCCTGACATGGTGGCAAGCGCCTGTAGTCTCAGCTACACTGGAAGCTGAGGTAGAAGAATCTCTTGAACCCAGGAGTTCCTTTCTGTGACATGAAAGGCAAGATTATCTGCTTGGAAAAAGGAAGAGATGGTGAGCGTGGGTTGAAGGGAAGGTTGAGAGGAGGGGTTGGGTAGAGGGTCCTGCCATGGGTATACCAATGGATACCTGGCAGTTTTGTCCAAGGGAATCATACAACTCAGGTTGTATGACAAATTGGAAAGGAACAGGTCCAGCACATGATCCTTGTGGTGGGACAGCAAGTGATGGGTCTTAGTCTTTAAGAAACATAGTCAAGAAAGTCGAACCAAGCTGGTAGTCCAGAAGAAGACAAAAGTTCCAGTGAGGTGGCAGTGCTAGTGAGGTTAATGAATCGTGGCATGGAAGGTGGGAAAGAAAAGGCACTGGTACAAGATGGGACACTGAAGACTTTGAAGTGAAGCAGTGCTGAGACCCGTGCCTGCCTGCAGCGTCAACCAACTTTAGTTTGAAAATGTTTAAAGAAAAGAATTGTCGGAGCTGGAGAGATGGCTCAGCACTTAAGAACACTTGCTGTTTTTCCAGAAGACTCGGGTTCGATTCCTAGCACCCACATGGCAGCTAACAACTGTCTGTAACTCCAGTTCCAGGGGATCTGACACCCCCTTCTGGCATCCGCAGTCTTTGCATGACACAGGTGCACTTATGTGCAGGCACTACACATAAAAATAACAAAATATTGGAGACGGATTTGTAAACCTCAGAACGAGGTTCTGCCTGCCCGAGGCCGCGGTGTTGCGGAGACCCGAGGCGTAGCCAGCGACACCATGTCTGACCAGGAGGCAAAACCTTCAACTGAGGACTTAGGGGATAAGAAGGAAGGTGAATACATTAAACTCAAAGTCATTGGGCAGGATAGCAGTGAGATACACTTCAAAGTGAAAATGACAACACATCTCAAGAAGCTCAAAGAATCATACTGTCAAGGACAGGGAGTTCCAATGAATTCACTCAGGTTTCTCTTTGAAGGTCAGAGAATTGCTGATAATCATACTCCAAAAGAACTGGGCATGGAGGAAGAAGGTGTGATTGAAGTTTATCAGGAACAAACAGGGGGTCATTCAACGGTTTAGATACTCTTTTTATTTCTTTTCTTTTCCCTCAATCCTTTTTTATTTTTAAAAAATAGTTATTTTGTAATAGTTCTTTTCATTTCAAAATGAAAACTGAATACTGACACCCCATCACTTTAAACATCTGGTAATTTGAATTCTAGTTCAATACTCATTATTGGTCGCTTTTATTGTGCTGATTTCTGGTGATCCGACCTCAGCTCCCTTCATATTGCCCTCTTTTTGAAAATTCCATGTGTGCACAGAGAGGCCATCTTTTTCAGGACTGCATTTTCAGGTTTGTGGTGATTAAAAAGATCGACCACAGCGAGTTTTCATAATGACCTTCCAGTTGGCCCTGAAGTTCCAGCAGGTGACTGCTTCACTCCTGGACTGTGATTTTCAGTGGGAGATGGAAGTTTTTCAGAAAACTGAACTGTGGAAAAATGATCTTCCTTCATCTTGAAGCTACTTTTAAAAATCTGAGGGTCTGGACCAAAAGAAGATCAGATTTAGAATCAAGATGACAGATATGGCAAGTAAAGACTAACTCCAAAATGGCTTCATTGAAGATAAAGCATTTTAAGATTTAAAAAAAATCTGCCAGAAGATCCCAGAAAAGTTCTAATTTTCATTAGCAGTTAAAAGTTATTCATGCAGAAATGTATGCAGCAGACCACTGCTCCTTTTGATTTTATTTGTACTTTTTGGCCTGGGACATGGAATAAAATAATAAAAATAGTCTGTACTGAATATATACAGACATCTTTCCTATCCTTCCATAAATAATCACTATTTATATAGCATTTGCATTATATTAGGCATTGCAAGAAATCTAGAGGTGGTTTAAAGTATACAGAATATGTATATAGGTTATTATGCAAATATTCCACTTTACACAAGGTATTTGAACACCTACAGATTCCTGGAACCAGTCTCCCAAGGATATGAAGAGATGACTGTTGAGGTCATATATTTCTTCTACCAGCTTTTAAATTCTGAAGACTGTACACCATATGTCCCTCCGAGTTTGTTGCATGACAAGGGTTTGACCTTAGATCTTTCATTGTATCATATGTGTTACCATGATGTATTAAAAGATGCTTGAATCGCATAAACTCTTTTCAGTACCAATAATATAAACAAATGAGTTTATTCTACACGATTCTTTGTATTATGAGTATTAAGATAACTCAAAAGGAAAGAATAAAATTTATAATCTAAATACTCCCAAAATTACTTTACTCCTTTTATTTTCTATATTTTAATGAAGTATTTAATTCTTAATTGGGTATAATTAGAATAAAAATACATTTGCCAGTCTACTTGTCAAATTACTGCCTTTTGGAATGAGATGAAGAGTGAAATAAATATTTCCCATGCTCCTTTGTGCTTTGTCTTCTTCCTCTTCTTCTTTTTCTCATCCCCACCCCACCCTACTTCTTTTTCTATGGGCTGAAGATCTAGCCCAGTGCTTTGCACATGCCAGGCAAGGCACAGAGATGCATTCCCAGGCTTCTTTGTAATTTTTTAGTAGCTCCACAATTCGCAGGTCTATCACATTTAACTGTGCTATTGCTGCACATACGGATTTTTACGTTTCAGCATCCAAAGAATGTGGCAGTCAACATCTTTTTTTTTCGCATGTAATTTTCTTTTAGATACTTTTCTTCAGATAAATTTCTAAAATAGGAAAGAGGCTTAAAATTCAAACTCTTAAACATATGCACTGCTGGGGTCTTCCAACCTGCTCACAATATATATGCTTTGCTACTTGCAAGCAAAATTTTGCCATAAAAACTATTTTTTAGCCAAGTAATACCAGCTAGCAGATACTAGGAGAATAGTGTGATATTGTTGGAAGGAATGTTGGCCTGGCATAAGGAAGTCCAATTTTTACTCTAAAACTAGGAAATAAGCCAGGCGTGGTGATACACACCTTTAATCCCAGCACTTGGGAGGTAGAAGCAGGTGGATCTCTTATGAGTTTGAGGCCAGCCTGGTCTACATAGGGAGTTCCAGGCCAGCTGGGCCTACAGGGAGACCCTGTCTCAAAAAAGATTAAAAAACAACAACAACAACAACAACAAAAACCCCTAGGAAATAGCTGTGACTCAACTCTGGTCAAATTGCTTAATTTTTCTGGCCTTGTAATTGCTAACCTGTATGAGTATGTTCACCAAAATGATAGTATCTCTTTTCATGATAGGATTTCTGTTCCCAGTTGTCTTAAGAGGCCTTCCTAATGTGAATCATTGGATAAAAAGTTATCATTTATTAATTCTCTTCTGTATATCAGTCATTATTTCATCTGTTTCAGAGCACAAACCCATGAGGTGGGTTCAATGATCATACCCAATGAACAAATGCAGAACTAAGATTTTGACTAATGTGATAGAGACTGCCCAAGTTCTCACAATGGTAAGCAAGGGGTGAGGGACTCAAAGTCAACTTAATCCCAAGGTCTTGCATTTGAGCCATGCCACTATACTATCTTGGCATATTTTCTCCTAAAAGAACTAAAAATACCTTCAACTTTAAACCAGTTTTTGGTGTTACAGGTCATCTTTCATGTCCCAAAGATAAGAGAATTATTCTGTTTTACTTGTGCAAGAGTCCTGGACCATCAGAGTTGCTTTTATTTTTGTTTCTACAGAGCCTTTGTTTTAAAGCCAACTTTTGCTTAGCATGTCTGTTTCTCCTTCTAAAGTAAAAATAACTTCACTTGTCTGGCTCTACTAAGGTTTTGCATTTATTTTATTAAATTCATGACTATTTATATTACTATAGTGGAGTCTGGGTTTTTAATTGGTGTTCCCTTATATAGGTTTATACTACTTAAGATTGTTGCCTATTACTCTGCCCATGGGGCAGCTTTTATTTAAAAAGAATCAAATTAAATTGCTTCATAAAATTACAGCATGTGTTCAGAAAAGTTTTTAAAATTCCATGTGCCTGGACTTCAATTTTCATCAAGAATTGCATTCAACAGACTTCCTGTTTCAAAACTTATGGGGTGGTACCCCCTAGTGGAAGATCTACAGAAACATCAGTCCTGTAAGCACTGGAGGTTCAAGACACAGACACAAATTCTCCCCACAGGGATACAAATTCTCTCTCCACTTGCTGCAGTTTTGTTCTTTGTTATTTATTTACTTGAAACAGTGGAGATCAAGTGGTGAACTGTGAGTAGAGTTGGGTGGGTTGAGCAGCAGGGGGCAGTATAAAATAAAAAATGGGACTGTGATAGGTACTCAGGTCCTCAATGACAAAGGCATTGGGTGTGAGATGATCAGATTAAAAAGCAGTGGAACAACCAACAACAATGTACAAGATTTGCCCATAGGGATCAAGCTTAGTGACTTGGCAGGGGAGACCCCCCCAAAGGGAGGGGCAAGTTTGGAAAGAATATGGAGATAGAGTGTGAAGGAAGAGTTCTGTAGCTGGGAAGAGGAAAGAGAACTGAATCCAAATTGAATTGGGCTGTCCAGGGTGTCAGGTAAAAGGGATGCTGTAGCCAAGGCGAGGACTCAAAAAGGGAAGGAGACACTGAGACAGAACAGTGTCTGTGGAGCCAATCTGTTGAGGCCAGAGGCCTCCTTGGCCATCTTGTCTCTGATGCAGTAAAACTTGTTGGTTTGGGGAAGGCATCATCCCCATGACCATAGGCTGACCCTGTCTTTTACATGGTGACAATATCTATTTGAAGTTTTAGGAATTTCTTACTATGTAACAGGAATAGAAAAATTAAACACATAAAAATTTTTCAGAAAGTTTTTTTAAATTTTATAAAAACTTTATTGAGCATTTCATACATGCATATAAGGTGTTTTGATCAAATCCATGTCCACTCCCTCCCCTCCAACATCTCCTATATCTCCCCATTACTTTTTTCTGACAACTTCATGCATTCTTTTTTTTTTCTTGAGGGGTTGGAGAGCTATTTGCTACTGTAACATTTCCCCCTCTGCAGAGGTAGCCTTAAATCTTTTAGGGTTAGATAAGAGCTCCCAAATACTTTTAACATTTTTGGCCTTTGGAACAGAGTATGTTGGTAAGAGGCCCAAGCGCATTTTGACTTTTAGACAAGAAACTGGCTACTTTTCTTTGGGGTCTATTTACCCTAACTGCCTAGCCAATTTCTACCTCCTATTCTTATCACACCATCCCCTGAAGAGGTTACCCAACTTGCAGATAGGGAATCGGGATGCAGACCACTCTGGCTTCTTCCATGCAAAACAGGGAAGCAGGGAGAGCCA